TAAAAAAAGGAAAATACTTCTGTGTTTATATATATATTACTGAGTTTTTTACATTAACCTATTTAATTCTGTATTATGGTATCTGTATACTGTTCATTTTACTAATGTATAAAGCAGTTTGGGTTGTAGGATTGTGATCATGTTCTTTTTTACAATACAGAAAAGAATGCATGTTGAAGATATACAAATTAAAGAGCGTGTGTATCACTCGATATTATACTTATGATACTTTTTAATATCAAAACTCTTCAAATGTGACAGTGCTGTATTTCTTCCAGACAGCTGCAGCTCTGTCCGGGAACTGATGCATAGTGCTGTTTAGGAGAATGAGTTTCAATTCAACCTTTAATAACGATCAAAGTATTATCTTCTGTCCTCCATTCTTTTTGCCCTTCACACTGAAACATGTGTGGAGGATACTGCATCACACTTTTGTGAGGGCAGGTTTAATATTTGCTATATAGCTGTGTGCTACTTCACAAGGATAAAAATATGTGTTTTTGTGCTGAGAAAGTGAAACCTTCCCTCACCGTGTTGGATCGCAGGGACACGCGCCCCCCACAGCGAGCGCAGAACTTGGTCTGGCAGTACGAGCACGGGTTCCCACAGCCATCTGCGAACTTGGTCTTGTGGCAGATGCCACAGGTCGGCGCGTCGTCCCGGTGAACGGCCGAGCCTGCCGCTGCTGTGGCCTGTCGGATCACAGTCTCTCTGTAGCTGGATAACTGCTGCTGGATACCTCTGCAAAAAAAAATCAAACAGAAGCATGAAGACTTCTGCATTTTTGAAAGGAGGCCACGTTATAAGTTACCATCTCAGGATACATTTCAAAAACTAAATGTTCTAATACACTTGAAGGAAAGGATGTGTCGAATGTCACCCAAGCTCTCTTGAATTTCACTGGTGTTTTTTTCACTTCAGTCCAAGAGTATTTCACTCGAGCTCTTTACCGTTTTAGTTTGTGAGGACATGTTTTGCTTTCTGTTTCACCATCCTCAGCAACAATGCGATGCAATGCGCGTCTCTGTAATGCTAAACACAGCAATGGTTTGAGCTGTGGATTTATGTGTCACCAATGCTACAATTTACTAATTAGAACAAGAGTATAACTTTTTTTAATGCTAGCATCCACAGCGTCATTATGAAGGTTAATTTATTAAATGTGCACTCATCCCACTCTGTGGACTGGGAGGTAAAGTACAAGTTTGAGGTTCTACCCACATTAAAAACCAAGAAAGAGTCCAGCATGCATATTTTAATCTAAACCGTTAGCTTTTCATAAACTTAACCAAGAAGATTTGTTTTGTAAACCTAAGTAAAAAAGAACTGCTTTGCAGCAACACCACTGCCTTAAACTGTAGTTTCTCTAACAACCACTTGAGGCTGGTTAATCTAACTGGCTAATACTCAAAGTATAACACTGCCTCTGCTGGTTTAGTCCTCATGCAGAAGTGCATCCTGCTGCCAGGTGTTCCCCAGGTCAGGGACACAAATGCACCCAGCCATCCATGTGAAAAGAAAGCATGATTGATCAGACCAGGACACTTTCTTTCTTTCTCTGTTGTCCAGGTCTCATGTGCACATTGTTGTTGCTTTTGGACAGGGGTCAGCATGGGCACCCTGACTGGTCTGCAACTCTGCTGCCCCATGCACAACAAACTGTGATGTTCTGTGTATTCTGACACCTTTCTACCAGAACCAGCCGTAACTTTTTCTATAATTTGAGCTACAGTAGCTCGTCTGTTGGAGCGGACCTCACAGGCCAGCCTTCACTCCCCATGTGCATCAGTGAGCCTTGGCTTTCATGACCCTGTTAATGGTTCACCCCTGTTCTGACCACTGCAGACTGGGAACATCCCACAAGAGCTGGAGATTTGGAGATGCCCAAAGCTGGCCCAGTCATCTGACCATCACAGTTTGGACCTTGTTAAACTCACTCAAATCCTCACACTTGCCCATTTTCCCTGCTTCTAACATCAACTTTGAGGATAAAATACTCACTTGATCCCTGATATATCCCACCCACTAAAAGGTGGCATGATGAAGACATAATCAGTGTTATTCACTTCCCATGTCAGTGGTCATAATGTTTAGGGCTGCCACGATTAGTCGACTAGTCA